GACCCGCTTGTAGATGCCACCGTACGGCTGTACAACGCCATTCGCGCGGAGCTGCTTCCCACGCCGTCCCGCTCCCATTACACCTTCAACCTGCGAGATCTGTCCAAGGTGGTTCAGGGGGTCATGCGCGCCGACCCGCGGTCCACCTCCGACTACAAGCAGGTGCTGTCCCTCTGGCTGCATGAGTGTTCCCGCGTGTTTGAGGACCGGCTGATCAATGATGAGGATCATGGCTGGTTTCGGAGGCAGCAGGAGACGCTGCTGCGGCAGCACTTCAACTGTGCTTATGGAGATGTGGTCACCAGCGAGCGGCTCATCTTTGGGGACTTCATGGTGCCGGGTAAGTGAATGTGGATGTGTGGGTTTGTGTGTTTGTTTGTTTGTGTGTATGTCGGTTTTACCACCTTGGTTTTACCACGAGGGTACTTAATGCAAGTAAAAGACACTATGAAAAATCGAATATGCAAACTCACCCTCCCCCCCGTGTGTTTGTGTGTGTGTATGTGTGTGTGTATGTGTATGTATGTGTGTGTGCTTCTGTAAAAAGCGTATATGTGCTCCGAGCCTACCTCTTGCCCACCCCAATAAATAACCCGGCGGTTGCGACAGGTGCCGACCCACGGGTCTACAGTGAGATCACGGACCTGCCCCGCCTGGTCCGCGTGGTGGAGGAGTACCTGGAGGACTACAACTCTGTGTCGAGTGCCCCCATGAAGCTGGTCATGTTCCTGGACGCTATTGAACACGTCAGCAGGATTACTCGGTGAGGAAAATAGAGAGACACACACACACAGATGCACAGATGCACAGATACGCACACACGCAAAGATACAAACACGCAGCTAATTAAAACACGTAGAGAGAGAGGGAAGGAGGGAGGGGGGAATTTGTGTGTATACAAATCGCGATAAGAGCTGAGCGAGAGCGCGGGGAAATAGTCAAAAGAAAGAGGGAAGAGAGCCTGGTTACGAAAGGTCCTGATACAGTGATTGCTCCCGATATAAGATATAACTAGATATATGGATGGTGAAAGACGGGCTAATAAATCATCATCATCAATAAGATCAGCATCAGGTTTGGCACTGCTGGAAGGTCCCAATGCCCCCAAAAAATAGCGGCGTCTGTTAACAGGGATATAAATTTTACTTTTACACTTCCACATTCCTGCTTCCCGCTTTCCTCACGATCATCCAATCCATTCAAAATTCAATCTCCCATTCAATTTCACGCGAATTTTGATTTTGATACAATTTCGCGATTTCCTCTCGCCCGTGCCGCCTTTCGCAGTGTCATTCGGCTGCCTCTGGGTAATGCGCTGCTTCTGGGTGTGGGCGGCTCCGGCCGACAGAGCCTGACAAGGCTGGCGGCGTTCATGGAGGAGTACGACGTCGTACAGATCGAGATCTCCAAGGGCTACGGCGCCAACGAGTGGCGCGACGACCTGCGGCGGGTGCTGAAGAAGGCGGGGCTGGAGGGGCGCGAGACTGTGTTTTTGTTCACGGACACACAAATCGTTCAGGAGAACTTTCTGGAAGACATCAACAACATCCTCAACAGTGGCGAGGTGGGTTGGATTAGTGGTTTGCTGGGGTAGTGGTCTTAGTGGATTAGTGGATTAGGGGTTGCGATGGTCGATGATGGGCTGTTAGGTGGCTGGTCGTGGCTATATGGTCAGTCACGGTTATTAGCACCCCACCTTGCGTTGGTAAGTCGGAGATTGATCGCTTACAATTCTGACCGATATAACACCCCTCCCATGATGGAGTGCTTCAGCACAGTCGTTCCCGTTGGGGTACGGTTAGGTGCCCCTGGCCAGTGTCAGGCCTGGATCAATATGCAACAGATACACACACAGACACACTCACATACATACATACGTACATACGTACCGACTTCCCCTCACCCTAAGGCCTCTGTGGCCTCTATGGCCCAATGCCCAACCCCCGTGTTCCCGCGGTCCCCGTGGTGCAGGTCCCCAATCTGTGGGGCAACGACGACCAGGAGGCCATCACCAGCGCCATGCGTCCCATCATGACCGCCGCCGGCATCCCCGTCACCAAGATGAGCATCGCCACCACCTTTGTCAACCGCTGCCGCGCCTTCCTGCACCTGGTGCTGTGCTTCAGCCCCATCGGGGACGCCTTCCGCCAGCGTCTTCGCATGTTCCCGTCGCTGGTCAACTGTTGTACCATTGACTGGTTCAGGGAGTGGCCGGAGGAGGCGCTGAAGAGCGTGGCCACGTCATTCTACACGGGTAGGGTAGGGTAGGGTAGCACGGACTTCCCCAGCTGCACAGCACCCCTTCGTACTCCGGACCCGCGCACCCCACATGGGCCCACATTGCCCCTCCTTTTGCCCTTGCGCCCTGCGGTCCGCGACCTCGCAACAACTGGTTATTTGTTTCTTGCAGGTTATTGTTGCATATTATTTCTCTTTTCCCCCTACATATACACATTTCCAGCAGTTTTGTACACAACCTCTTGACTTCTTTTTTCCTCCTGTGTTTGTTTGTATGTGTGTCTGCTTCAGACGTTGATTTTGGTGACGACAGCGGCCGCATCATGCGTGGCGTGGTGGACTGCTGTGTGGGTATGCATCAGAGCGTGGAGAAGAAGAGCAAGAAGTTCTATGATGAGCTCAGGAGGTGCGGCCGGGCGGGCGGGGGCGGGGGGGGGCCGGGCGGGGGGGGGGGGCAGGGGGGGAACGGGGCGGGGCGCACGTATGTGTGTGTTGGGGGGGGAAGAGGGCGGGGACGACGCTGGTGTGCATGTGCGTGTGTGCGTGTTCTTGCACATATATACATATATATGTGTGTGTGTCTGTGTGTGTGTTGTGTGTGTTGTCGGGGTTATTAGGGGACATGGAATGAGGTCTGGTTAGTGGCTGAAGGCGAAGGTGGAGGTAAGAGGTGGAGGTGGGTAAGCAGTAAGATTGTGGGGCCGGGTGGTTAGCTTGGAGAAGCGCTGCCTGAGATGATTTTGGGATGAGGGGCTCCCATGTGCCGTATGTGTGAAACCGACAACCAGCAACCCAAAACCCTAACCAACAACCAACACTCATCGCATTTATCAGCTCCCTAGTGGCCCTGGCCTTTTGTGCGTCTCACACCCCTTTTGGTCCCACCCAACCCCCTTTCCTTCCCTCACATGCACATGCACATTGAGATTGACATATGCTCTCGCTCGCACGCTTGTCTTGCTTAGGTACAATTACGTCACTCCCACCTCGTACCTGGAGCTGTTGACCACCTTCATCAAGTTGCTGACGGAGAAGCGCAACGAGATCTCGGAGAAGCGGCGTCGGCTGGAGGTCGGACTGCAGAAGCTGCTGAACACAGCCGCGCAGGTGAGGTGGAGGAGGAGGTGGGGTGGAGGTGGAGGTGGGGTGGAGGTGGAGGTGGAGGTGGGGTGGTCTGTGCGATACACGCACCAACATGTCAACAGCCAGGCAAGCAGCCATGCAGGCAGGCAGGCAGCCAGGCTTTAGGCTATGTGCTGCATTACGAGCCCCGTCTCTACCCCGCTGGGGAGCCGCCATCCCCCTCACTCCCTCGTGTGTGGTTCGTCTTTCCCCCCCCCCTCACTCACCTCCTCCATCAAGCTGCCCTGTCCTCGACACTCCCATCCCACCCACATTTACTCGTACCTACCCTTAGCATCCTCCCTCCCTGAAGGAATCTTGAGGGGTCTTATCCTGTTCGTTTCTATCCTGTCATGTACTTTAAAGTTCATCCCCTTTCGTTCCCCTAAAGGGGATGAACTAATTCCCTGCCCTCTACTTTAATTCCCTGCCTTAATCCCTCTATCTGTCCTGTTACCCTGATCCTGGCTCACCCCCCAGGTGGAGGTGATGCAGAAGGAGCTTCAGGACCTGCAGCCCGTGCTGGCCGCCACCGCCAAGGAGGTGGAGGACATGATGGTGGTCATCACCAACGACAAGAAGGAGGCGGACGAGACCAAGAAGGTGGTGGAGCAGCAGGAGAAGGACGCCAACGAACAGGTGAGGCTGCGACTGCGACTGCGACTGCGGCCACTACGACGCATATGCGTGGGCGGTCTGTGCCTCTCTGTATATATGTGGGTGTGAGGGTGTTGCCATGTGTACTTCGTGCGCGCTCGTGAGGTCGTGCATGCACGCATGGGTGAACCAGCCATTATGTTACAACAAACATCTGTGCGTTGCACATGTGAGTATATGTTTTGTATAATACTCGTGTGACAAAATGTGACATGTGACAAAATCGCAGCACATAATTTGGCATATGAAAGGACATGCCTTCTCTGCTGCCTCTTTTCAGAAATCTGTTGAAGAGAAACCTTTCTTCGGCACCGTTTTTTAACACCCCACCGTTCACCTTCCCCCCCTCCCTGCCTCCCTCCCTCCCTTCCGCCCCCCAGGCCGCCCGTGCCAAGCAGATTGCCGAAGATGCCCAACGTGATCTGGACGAGGCGCTGCCCGCCTTGGAGCGAGCCTTGGAGTCCCTGAAGAACCTGAGCCGTAACGATATTGTGGAGGTCAAGTCGCTGCAGAACCCGCCTGCGGGCGTGCGCACCGTTATGGAGGCCACCTGCATCATGTTTGACGAGAAGCCCAAGATGAAGGACGACCCAGCGAACGTTGGAAAGAAGGTGGGAGTTGCGCTGTGGGCGGGTGGATGTGGATGTGGATGTGGATGTGGATGTGGGAGGGTGATGACGCAGCAGCACTTGCGTAAGGGGGGTTACATGCTGTAACTCTTTCTCGTGGTGTGTGTGTGTGTGTATGAGGTGCGTGTATGGCGTGTGAAAAATGTGTTCTCTTGCGGCTCGTAAAAAGGCGTATGTTTTTGCCATCGCTAAGTTCACTCCCTACAGCACATTATCTCCCCTTTCTCCCCCCACCGCTCCCCCCACCGCTCTTCCCCTTTCTCCCCCTTTTCGTCCCCACATCTCTCCCCCTCTCTTTTCCTTCATCGTACCTATAACTGATTATGTTTTATAACGTCGTACGATCCTCTCAGATCCCGGACTACTGGGAGCCCGCCAAGAAGCTTCTCAACGACCCCACCAAGTTCCTAGAGAACCTCTTCTCGTACGACAAGGACAACATCCCTGACCACGTCATCAAAAAGATCGAGAGCTACATTCAGCGCGACGACTTCACACCGGAGGCCATTTCCAAGGTGTCCAAGGCCTGTACGTCCATATGTATGTGGGTTCGCGCCATGTACGTGTACCACAATGTGGCTCTGTCGGTGGCTCCCAAGCGGGCCGCGCTGGCGGCAGCGCAGCAGCAGCTCGATGCGACGATGGAGGCGCTCAAGGGCGCCCAGGTGCGCGGTAATTTGTAATACATCTAGAGGGGCACATGCCTGGAGATGTGCGTGTACGTCTGTATGTATGTATGTATGTATGTATGTATGTATGTATGTATGTATGTATGTATGTATGTATGTATGTATGTATGTATGTATGTATGTATGTATGTATATATGTATGTATGTATGTATGTATGTATGTATGTATGTATGTATGTATGTATGTATGTATGTATGTATGTATGTATGTATGTATGTATGTATGTATGTATGTATGTATGTATGTATGTATGTATGTATGTATGTATGTATGTGTATCTGAGGGGAGAAAGGGAGGGGGAGGGGATATGAATAAAGTCATATATGAATGCGGGTGTGGGAGTGTCTGGGGTGTTGGGTGTTACACGGGCATAAGGCCGGGTCCTGGTGTATTTGCGTACTGTACTGCCGTTACGTTACTTTACGTGCACTTGTGTCAGTGCCCACGCATCAGTAGACACGCCCATAACCCCCAGAAGCTGTACGCGTCCACGCCTGGAAAAGCCGTACCCCCGCCCCCAGCCCCTCCTCGCTCGTCCGAACGCACCCTCGCCCTCGCCCTCGCCCTCGCCCTCACCCTCGCCCTCGCCCTCACCCTCGCCCTCGCCCTCGCCCTCGCCCTCGCCCTCGCCCTCACCCTCGCCCTCGCCCTCGCCCTCGCCCTCGCCCCACAGGCCAAGCTTCAAAGTGTGGAGGACAAGATCGCGGCCCTGGAGGCGGACTACGAGGAGGCCACCGCCAAGAAGGCCTCCCTGGCCCAGCAGGTGCTGAGGTGCACTGTGCAGCTGCAGAGGGCGGATAAGCTGATCGGGGGACTGGGCGGAGAGAGGGTGCGCTGGCAGGTGAGAGGGAAGGGAGGGGGGGATGGGAGGAAAAGAGGGAAAGAAAGGAGGGGAAGTATTGCATATAGCGGGAAAGTGGAACATAGCCCACATAAGGAAAAATAAAACTTGTATTTTGTATTTGTATTTGTGAGAGGGAGGCCGTCATTCCCCGGGTGTAGACACGGTGGCGGCCCAGGGGGCCACGGGGGGAAGGGGCGGGTGTAGGTTGGTTCAAGCCCCTGGGGGACTGGATTGGCACACACACACATACACACACGCACACACACACACACACACTGAATTGGCCGCTGTGTTACGGCATTTCCCGTCCTTTGTTGCCTTTTCCTCCCTCCGCAACCCCCCACCACCGTCCCCACCACCCCATTTCCCCTCCAACACCCCACCGCCACCCCGCACCCCCACACCAACTGGACAACAACAGGCCACTGTGGATCAGCTGAGCCACGATTTGGTGAATGTGGTCGGCGACGTGGTCATCTCCGCGGCCACCATCGCCTACAGCGGCCCCTTCACTCCGCTGTACCGGGCGGCGCTGGTTTCGGAGTGGAGCGCCTTCCTCAAGGACGCGGGCGTGCCGGGAACACCTAATGCCTCCTTGCTCACCACGCTGCAGGTGAGTGTGGTAAAGGTGTGATGGTGGTTCTTCCTTTCTTTCTGTCTTCTGTCTGTCTGTCTGTCTGTCTGTCTGTGTTGGCTGTAGGTTGGCCAAGTTGACAGGACAGAACAATAGGCAGTAAGACTCTTCCCCTTCCCTCCTCCCACCTCCCTCTTCCCCTCCCTCCTCCCACCTCCATGTAAAACCCGCAGGACCCCGTCAAGGTCCGCTCCTGGACCATCGCCGGCCTCCCCACCGATACCCAGTCCGTGGAGAACGGCATCATCGTGTCCAAGGCCAGGAGGTGGCCGCTCATGATCGATCCGCAGGTGTGGCGTGTGGCGTGCGGGGTGCGGGGTGCGGGTTCGAGCACGGGGGCGTTG